TGCAGTATTGTACTCGCAATTGACGTGCGTCCCACGCATTATTATAGATACGCAAGCTTTTGTGATTCCACATTAGGTCTGAACAGTCTGATTGTTATTATGAATAAGTATTGAATTCGAAAATAGAAAATAACTTGTACAATTAGCTAGTTTATTGCGAAACGTATTTATTCGAGCGTGTAAGTTTAATAAAACTACAAAAATTTACGTTTCTGTTTAAATAGCATATTTTAGTGATTTTATTAACCATGTTCGGTGAATATAAATTAATTTGATTCAATATAAAAGAAAAACCGTATTTTGAATGTCAAAAGGAAATGTGATGGGTACAGATTGTGCATTTCATGATCTTAGTTTTCTGTTGCTCAGTTAGAAAGAAATGAACATATGTATTAGCATCTTTCTTCAACTCGATACTTTAGAGAGAAAGTGATATGATTCAAGTCATCTCATTCTTTCTAAATCGATAGTGACAACTTCGTAGGAATATGCAGTCTATTCTTATCACAGCTATGGTTAAACCGAAATAAATTTTGAAAAAATTATTATGACGAAGGAAAAAGAAGTTGCGTTAGCAACGATATATTTTACTATGCATTTACATTATTACAAGAACCATGATAGGCACTTTGTGAAAGTTTCATGACTGCGGAACAAAAGCAGTTCCTTGGGCATTGTTTCTTGTACCTCCCCTCCATCAAATTAACCTCCTGGGACTCACGCGAAAACAAGCGAAGCAATTATCCTCGAGCGTAAAAGTGGAACTCTCTGTAGGTTAAATACATATTTACGTCGAGTTGCAGATTTATTATGGCCCGTACTTTTCGACGAAATTAATCACAAGCGTTACTGTATCAAATTACTTTTATAACAACGCGCCGTACGTGTGTTGTCTCTGAGTGCCCCTGCGCACGAAAATAGATATTGTGAAAGAATAATTACAAATTTATCCCGTCGAAACCCGCTCCGATTCCAACATGATCGATTCCCGCCACCTTCCGAATATGATTGATGTGTGCTGAAACAATATATTGGGCCTTAATCATTTTGTCCTGCTGCCAGCACGTCACAAATTTTATTTTAATATGAAATATTTTAATATAAATGCATGCGCTTTTGCCTGGGGGAATAAAATGTGATTGGGGAATAGCACGGTTATGAGGTAACGTGCTCATGAGATCGTCATGCATGCATAGGTAAAATGTTTTATTATTGTCAGAAGCACATAACGGATCTTTTTAGATATTTGCGAGTGTTAAAGTAAAAAATAAATATATATCCCACTTAAAAAAATGGCTAAGCAAATGGTGAATTGCAGGATTCTTGCAATATTAAGATACACGATTTGTTCTTCATTCGAGAAATAACGAATGCATTTATTTTGTTGTAATTTTACGTCTTTTTAGGAGCACGGGTTTGAAAATTAAATTTACAACGGAAAATGTGTCAAAATGACGTAAAATATAACGTGTACAGTAATTACGCGTCTGTCACATGCAATATTGATACGGTATAATTTACTCCCGGGGTTTGGCTTAGCACAGTTTCCCGTATAGCGTTGCACGTACCAATAACGTCTTTTATAGTAGCGGTGCTGTTGCATGTTATGAAGTAGGTATAAAAAGGGACCATCGCCACTCCGCCATTTTTAGCCTGTGAACAGATACATTAATGTCATACACGCTGTGCGATTGTATTTCTTTCGATCTTTAAACGTATGACACGAAATTACATCGTGCAGTTATGTACAATAAAATCATAATATATATTATTCCACTACTGAAATTTATTCGCGAGAAAATGGCTGGTTGTTTAATATCTTCAAAAGTGATTTTATTGGAACGGTGTTAAAAACATTTTTTTAAATTCAATTTATGCGCACTTTAATAAATAATTCACACTAAACTAATTAATTTTTTTCAAAGTTTTGACTATTTTTCCAACGTATGCATTATTATTATGTACTTATACCAGATCTTAGACGATGTCGATGGAATTAAATAATTTCAACGAATAATTTCTTATTCCTTCAAATTTGATATACACTACAATGTATGTAGGATTTAAAAGGATTAAAACGGTCTCTCTTTAGGATGCCATGGTACAAAAAATTTGATATAGAAATAAATAAAAAAAAATATTTTATTAATTTAATTCGTTCTAGCAGATTATTATTATTATAAAATATATTTGAAGATTTACATGAAATAATATGATATAATTGTATCAAAGAAATCAGCGTTTCAAAAAATTAATAGTTAATAATGAAAATAAAATTACAATACAAGACAGATTAGTAGAATAGCAAGGATAGGTACCTATTATAAAATAATAATATAAAATAATTCAATTAATACTAATTTCTTCATTAACTATATTAGTTTTTTTTAATCAACTAAACGCGGAAACTATCCGAGAAAACTGTATCAAGGAACGCAGTTGTCTATTTGATACCTATCCTTGCTATTCTATGCAATGTTAATTAGGGCAGCAGGACAACGCGGTTAATAACACGTTACCGGACAAGCCATCCGGCTTAGATCGTTGTTACTCATCCTCTCGTTCTGCGGGTATAATTAAGGGAATATCGATCGCTTATAGAGAGAGAAGGGAATGAAGCTCGTGGCGATGTTACTAGGATAACTTTAAGACATCGAGGAAAATTTCGATTAATTAACCATCTTATTTTTCGAAGATGAGTTAACAATACTTTGCGTACATTACTTTACAAGTTGAAAATATGTTTTAAAACCAATATAATTAGTGCTGCATTATAATTAGTGATGCATTTCGATATGAAAATCTTGGAATATTGTCTCGAAACTTGTCATCTCTTTTAAAATAACATTTCCGCGATTATCATGTGTCATTTGTTTTTTCTCGTATCGTCTTGTCTCGGAAAAATTGGAGAAATCCATGCCAGTTACAATATACTGTCTCATTATATAAATAAATATTTTAAATAAATGAAACGAGATAGTCGTTACATATAATTTTTTTAAAATGGAATATTATTAGGTAGAAATTATTAGGTAATATCAAGATATTGGAATAGAAATCAGCGCCAGGTTAATAAAAATAAATGTTTTTCTCTCAGAACTTTATATCTACGAATTTCAAAGTAGATTATAATATTGATTATAAAATATTGACACATAATCAGTTATTGTTACTTTTACTACTTATATCTTTCATAATTTTAATATAATTATTTATAATAAAATAATATAATTTTCTTTCAT